AGAGACCTACAACTTTGATCTTTTAAGTTCTCAAAATGAGTTGATTCAAGATTCGTTAGAAAGCTGTCGAAGAGACCTACAACTTTGATCTTTTAAGTTTTTCCAGATTATAAAATTATCAGTGTGTAGAAAGCTGTCGAAGAGACCTACAACTTTGATCTTTTAAGTTTTTCCAGATTATAAAATTATCAGTGTGAAAAATGCAAAAACTTTTACTAGTCACTTCATCGGATTTGTATTCGCACTCGTATATTCACATATATACATTAAATTGATCTCAAATCAATTCCTATATATTCACATATATACATTAAATTGATCTCAAATCAATTCCTAACATACTCACATATATATACTCACATATATAAATGTGATATTTATCATCATATAATATTACATTTAAATTTTCAGGGTTTTACAATTAATCACTAGAACTTCAAGCTTTTACAAACACAAAATAAGACCAGAAAATATTCTAAAGAAATCAGAAAACTTTGCAATTCGGAAGCTTTGATCCACTTCAAAATTCAGAAAATATGCCTATGAATCACAAATGATAAAGCTTAACATCAACTCTACCATCACACTATTTATCGGTATTAAGATGAGAAAAAATTATACACACTTTAATAATTACTTAAAAATCAAAATTTGTTAGAAATTGTTAAATACAATTTAAAAGCGGTGAAAAGAAAACAGCTTCATAAGATTAAACCTTCAAAATAGCCAGGTTGCTTTCTTCTACTCCCATAAAATCTCCTAAGGATCCAATCTTTTTCACACAAACATATATTTGCAATCAAGGCATAACACCATGATTAAGTAATAAAGCAGCTACCTAGATACAGAAACTAAAACACTAGGAAGATATCAGAACCAAAGGGAACAAAAAAACATTCAGTCGAGATGGAACCATAGCGAGAGATCCAAAAGTGTAGAGAGAATTGAAAATACATTTGGATCTAGAGAGATGTTTGAGGGCGGAGGCAATCAAAGAGAGTGGAGGATGATGTGGGAGTTTCTAGGGCTTTAAATAGAGCGAATTTGGTTTCTATTGGTCGTAGAATCAGCATCGACGATTCTAAGCGAATTTAGGGTTGCTATCGGGTTTGAGGGTATGAGTTCGGAGCCCAAACCCGAGAAGAGTTTTCTTTGTTATTGTTTGATGGAACAAAAGAATCCCATAAAATAGTGAAGGCCCCGTTTAGATAACATCGTGTTTATTTGTTTCCATGATGTTTTAATCAAAAATAAAATATAATGTATTTAAAAACCATGGTGTTTTTATAGCTAAACCATATTCAAATAAAAAAACACAAAACTTATTTCAAAATACATGCTATAGTGTTTTGCTATAGTAAAGATCACATTTTCGATTTTCCCACTGCAGTACCCCCCTGCTACAGTTCAACCACCACAGTGTTGCTTCAGTATTGAAATAATTTTTTACTTCTGCAGTATTGTTGCTACAGCGTAAAATGCTACAGTAAATCATATTTTTTTATTTTTCTGCTGCAGCAACATTGCTGCAGTCCCAATTAACTATAGTGTTGCTACAGTGCGAAAAGACTTCTTTGCTGCTACAGTTGTTTCTGCAGTGTAAACGCTTAACTATAGTGTTGCTACAGTGCGAAAAGACTTCTTTGCTGCTACAGTTGTTTCTGCAGTGTAAACGCTACAGTGTCGTGAAACCTTCTCCGCTGCTGCAGTGTTGTGCATACAGTAAGACACACACATTAAAAAAATGCTACAGTATACTATGTATATGAGTGTTCTGTATTTTAGCTATAACTTTCTCATAGGACGTCAAATGAGTTGATTCAAGATTCGTTAGAAAGTTATCGAAGAGACCTACAACTTTGATCTTTTGAGTTTTCCCAGATTATAACATTATCAGTGTGTAAAATGCAAAAAATGTTTAACTCGTCATTTCACTGGATTGCACTCGTATATTCACATATACACATTGAATTGATCTCAAATCAATTCCCAACATACTCACATATATAAATATGACATTTATCATCATATAACATTACATTCAAATTTTTAGGGTTTTACAATTAATCACTAGAACTTTAAGCTTTTACAAACACAAAATAAGACAAGAAAATATTCTAAAGAAATCAGAAAATTTTACTGGTCGTAGGATCAACATCGAGGGTTCTCAGCGAATTTGTGGTTGCTATCGGGTTTGACGGTATGAGTTCGGTGCCCATACCCGAGAAGGGTTAATTTTATTTGTTCTTGTTTGATGGAACAAAAGAATCCCATAAAATAGTGAAGGCCCCGTTTAGATACCATCGTGTTTATTTGTTTTCGTGATATTTTAATCAAAAATAAAATATCATGTATTTGAAAACCATGGTGTTTTTAGAGCTAAACCATATTCAAATAAAAAGCACAAAACTTATTTCAAAATACCTGCTACTGTGTTTTGCTACAGTAAAAATCACATTTTCGATTTTTTTCCCGCTACAGTACCCCCTCCCCCCGCTACAGTTCAACCACCATAGTGTTGCTACAATGTCGAAAGAATTCTTTACTTCTGCAGTATTGTTGCTACAGCGTAAAATGCTACAGTAAATCACATTTTTTATTTTCCTGCTACAACAACATTGCTACAGTCCCAATCGACTACAGTGTTGCTACAGTGCGAAAGAAATTCTTTGCTGCTATAGTTTTGTTGCTGCATTGTAAATGTTACAGTGTCGCAAAACCTTCTCAGCTGCTGCAGTGTTGTGCATACAGTAAGATACGCACAGTAAAAAAAACGCTACAATATACTATGTATATGAGTGTTCTGTGTTTTGGCTATAACTTTCTCATACGACCTCAAAATGAGTTGATTCAAGATTTGTTAGAAAGCTGTCGAAGAGACCTACAACTTTAATCTTTTAAGTTTTTCCAGATTATAAAATTATCAGTGTGTAAAATGCAAAAACGTTTACTAGTCATTTCATCGGATTTGTATTCGCACTCGTATATTCACATATATACATTGAATTGATCTAAAATCAATTCCTAACATACTCACATATATATACTCACATATATAAATGTGATATTTATCATCATATAACATTACATTTAAATTTTCAGGGGTTTACAATTAATCACTAGAACTTCAAGCTTTTACAAACCCAAAATAAGACCAGAAAACATTCTGAAGAAATCAGAAAAGTTTGCAATTCAGATGCTTTGATCCACTTCAAAATTCAGAAAATATGCCTATGAATCACAAATGATAAAGCTTAACATCAACTCTACCATCACACTATTTATCGGTATTAAGATGAGAAAAAATTATACACACTTTAATAATTACTTAAAAATCAAAATTTGTTAGAAATTGTTAAATACAATTTAAAAGCGGTGAAAAGAAAACAGTTTCACAAGATTAAACCTTCAAAATAGCCAGGATGCTCTCTTCTACTGCCATAAAATCTCCTAAGGATCTAATCTTTTTCACACAAACAATATTTACAATCAAGACAGAACACCATGATTAAGTAATGAAGCAACTACCTAGATGCGGAAACTAAAACACTAAGAAGATATTAGAACCAAAGGGAAAAAAAAACATTCAGTCGAGATGTAACCATAGCGAGATATCCAAAAATGTAGAGAGAATTGAAAATACCTTTGGATCTAGAGGGATGTTTGAGGGCGGAGGCAATCAAAGAGAGTGGAGGATGATGGGGGAGTTTCTATTTGTTCTTGTTTGACCAACTAGTCGACTTTAAGACGTACAGAAGACGATCACAATTTCAGCTCTAGCAGTTCGTCTCACTGCAGCTGTAGCTTTTTCCCCCCAAATCCAAGTGGGGGAAAAAAAATAAGCGCATTAAAAAAATAACTTGCAACTACAGCAGCAGTTGCTGTTATCTACAAATGACACAGCCTGTCTTTTGTGAAAAATCACAAGGTTATAAAATCACCTTGGAATGACTCAATTACATTTGAAAAATAAAGTCACTTAAACGTCATACTTTATATCGATGAACTTAAAGGAATTTAGTGATGGTTAAAGATTACCTGAAGAATCATAACAGCAGCAAAAATAAAAATTGCCCATTCCACAAAATAATACACTTCAGAATCCACCAATCCATCATCAGTCAGAACAAGTTTGCAGACACCCCAATAACCAAAACAAGCTCCGGCTAGGACAAGGCATACTAAAAGAAATATGCCCAACTGCAGTTGCATTCAGCGAAAAATTTTCAGTAAATGTATAGAGAAAAACCAGTAGATTTTATTGCATTACAAACTGACTGTGTGAAGTACAAATAGTTTAAAAATGAAAGTTCTGGCAGTTAGATCTCAAGACAAATTTGCAGTGCTCTTTAGGCAAAAAGGATAGACACAAAATTTGTTCATGATCTATTGGATTTTGACCTATATGATTTCCAATCTTTTGGTTCTGTAATGAAAAGCAGATTCTATAAGGTATTTCAAGACCATCAATTTGAACTACTTGTTAATGAAAAGCAGATTCTATAAGGCTATTTTGAAGGTTTAATCTTGTGAAGCTGTTTTCTTTTCACTGCTTTTAAACTAGTATTTTTTAAGTTATATTCTGCAAATATTGATTATGTTAACAAAATTAAGTATTATGCTATAAATAATTTTAATTTTGCTATAAATTATAAATTAAGTATAGTTGTGAAAGTGAATTGAAAAATTAATTAATATTTGGTTATTATTCGTTTATGTATATGATCAAGTTCGAAGCGATATTTCATTTAATACTAAACAAATATTTTTCAGTATTTGGTTTATAAATAAGTAGAATTTAACCTAAGATATGTTTGATTCGGTAGTTTATTAATTTGATAAATATTTCATAGAAAATTTAACAAAATGTAGTTCATTAACTGTTTGATTTGGTAGTCCTATGAACTTATTGCAAATATTTATTATGTAAATATTATTTTACAAATGACACCCATTATACACATATAAATAGCTAAGAGTGGGGTTTTAGCGCAAGGGTATTCTCTTATGCATTTGTCCGCCGCCTCCTTCAGGATCTGATAAAGGGATCGACTCCTCCCTCCTCTTTCTTTCACTCCCCTCCTTCAAAACCGAGTCCAATTGATCAAGGGATTGAATCTCGTCGTCGACTCCTCCATCGAAGCTCGTCGTTGACTCCGCCCGCGAAGCTCGTCGTCGACTCCTCCCTCGAATCTCGTCGTCGTTCACGGTTTTAGGTAAAGATTTCTTTTTTTTTTTCTTCAGATTTGTTGATTTTAACCTTTAAAGATTGATAATTTCATTCTTTAATGCTCTCACGTTTATCATCTTTCATCTTTCATGCGATAGATCTCGAAGACAGTAGGTAGGTCGTGCAGCGTCAGAGTTTTGTCACCAAAGTCTGATCTTTTAGCCTGTTACCTGTCTCATGGGAAATTTTGAGTTTGTTTGTTATTTATGAGTAATTATTTATTTTTGTTTGATTATAGTTTTGTTTATTTTTACTAAACTGGAAAGATACTAACTTTTTTTTAGCTTTTATTGCATATATATAATATAAAAAATATATATAAACTTATTTACAGTTTTTTAGCTTTTATTGCATGTTAACTGTTTATGGAGGTATATTTGCTTAGCATTCATTGACACGAAGACATGCAAATGCGAGACTTTTTCTTAAAACGTTGCATTCTGGTACCTGGATATTGAAATTAGGGCTAACATTGTTATCACCAGATTATTTGTGCATAATACAATTTTTTTCTTGAATTTTTGGTTAGATTTCTGTGTAGAAAAATCTATCAAAGTTATTCTATTTGTTGAAATATGTGGTGATTTTTGATGTCAAGATTTTTTTAGCAGTTTTGAAAAAGGAAGAAAATTTCAAAACAGCCTCAAACCATATTTTAATTTTCAAAACCGACCCACTTTTTTTTATTACCAAAATCGACTCACTTTTTGCCACGTCAGCTTAATCTCATTTCCTAATTAGTCAGGGTTGCCAACCCCGACTATTTAGGGCATAAAAATCGGGTTTAAGGCTTCTAATTGGGGTTTAACAACCTCCTAAACAGTTGGGGTTGCCAACCCGACTGTTTAGGAATGAGATTAAGCTGACGTGGCAAAAAGTGGGTCGATTTTGGTAAAAAAAAGTGGGTCGGTTTTGAAAATTAAAACATGGTTTGAGGCTGTTTTGAAAATTTATTCTTTTGAAATATGTGGTGATTGGGCGGAGGTGGGGGAGGAGGAGATGAGGACGGAGACCTCGTGTGTTCGGAGAGGGCGTAGAGAGGGGAGGAAGGGGGGAATTGGAGAGGAAGAATCGTGGGTGGGAAGTTCGGGGCAAAAAAGTGTACAGTGAACAGGAGAACGTGGGTGAGAAGTTTTTTTTAAGGGAACGTGGGTTGGTTATTCATTTTATTTTTTTTATTCTTTAGAACCTTAGGTTACTGTCCATTTTAGCTTTTTTGTTGTTCTCCTTTAGTAATAAAGTAATAAAGAAGTAGATTGTATTTAATAATTTCTAACAAATTTTGATTTTTAAGTAATTATTAAAGTGTGTATAATTTTTTCCCAACTTAATACCGATAAATAGTGTGATGGTAGAGTTGATGTTAAGCTTTATCATTTGTGATTCATAGGCATATTTTCTGAATTTTGAAGTGGATCAAAGCTTCCGAATTGCAAAATTTTCTGATTTCTTTAGAATATTTTCTGGTTTTATTTTGTGTTTGTAAAAGCTTGAAGTTCTAGTGATTAATATCTTTGCTATTGTGATTTAAAGGAGACCACACGTTATACCGGTAGCAATGGCGGTAACCTTGTACTCTCCTAGCTCGGCTGCTGGCCTTAAGAAGCTCGATGAGTACCTCCTCACTCGGAGTTATATCTCTGGGTTTGTATTCTTAATTGCAATATATTAATGCATTGCTTTCGATTTTTGCGTACTCTATGACATTCTTATGATATTTCATTTCAGATACCAAGCATCCAAGGATGATATTACTGTTTACTCAGCCATCCCGTCGGTGCCATCGGATGAGTATGTAAATGTTTGTAGGTGGTACAAGCACATCGATGCCCTCATTAGGATGTGGTATGTGCATAATTAGCCAATTCATTACATTACTATTTTTTACCTTAGTGTCTAGTTGAAAGTTAAAGTTTTGTTTGCGAAATGTTATGCAGTGGTGTCTCCACAGAGGGCCAGGGTGTGAAAATTGAAGGTTCTGCTCCTGCAGAGGCCCCGTTATCTCCTGCTGTTGCTGATAAGGTACATAATAGATGCTTTTGATCCTTGCTCGTTGCTTTTAAGTAGTGTTTTGTATTCATATTCCTAGAGTTCCTACTAGGTTTATATTGGTTAGAGCAATGTTGTATACGGTAATATATTAGGCTTTCATTATTTTTTTATTGGATTAATTCTTACAAAAGATAATTTGCAAAAAATCAAGGATTTTGTTTTTGATATTCATGACTCACCTTCTCAAGCCACAGTGTCCTTTCTTATGTCATGGTATCCTCATCTGTAGAAATTATCTTTTCTATGCCATATTTTCAGTAAACTCTTGGCTTTATCTAATAACTTCTGAAAATGTGATGTTTTCTCAAACAATATTTGTTTCATAATCATTAGAGGGACCAGATTATTCTTCTTGTCCTAAAACAAATTGTGATGATATATCATTTTGCCCATCCTCTATCTACTAATTTCATATTTATATGCAACTTGCTATTTATATTCAAAGTCTTTTAGAGTACAAGGCAATTTCCAAGCCTATAATACTTCATTAATAAAATGTGATGCAGAATTATGACATAACTTGGGACATAGCTTGGTTTCTTTTTACCTAATCTAGTTATAGATATTGATTTAATTTTGGTTTGTTGTTCAAAGACTCCAGTATTATACAACAATCTGTCAATCTACAATAGACAGCTATACTGTAATTATCTTAGAAATCTTAATATATTCTGGTTGTTATTATGGAACTTCAGGCTGCAGCTCCTGCGGATGACGATGATGATGATGATGTTGATCTCTTTGGTGAAGAGACAGAAGAGGAAAAGAAGGCAGCTGAAGCACGTGCTGCAGCTGTCAAAGCAACAGGGAAAAAGAAAGAATGTGTGTTTGCTTCACATATATATTATTTTCATGCTACAGAGGTTTTCTTTATCATGTTGCATATACATATAGATATCATTGAACATAATAACGAAACCATATTGTCAAGTTTTAACAATATAAGTTGTTTTGTTATGTTCTTATTTTGTATGTTGTCGGCTCTGCAGCTGGAAAATCTTCAGTTCTATTGGATATTAAGCCATGGGATGATGAAACTGACATGAAAAAGCTTGAAGAAACAGTTAGGAGCATTCAGATGGAGGGTTTGCTTTGGGGAGCTTGTATGTGAATGCTATTTTGTGTTTTAGCTGGATATGTTTTACTTCTGCTCACTGATGAGCAATCTTTCAGTTTAATTATTGTTCTTTGGTGGACATGCAGCCAAGCTTGTTCCTGTTGGTTATGGCATCAAAAAGTTACAGATTATGATGACCATTGTGGATGACCTTGTGTCCGTGGACACCCTGATCGAGGAGCATCTCACTGTTGAGCCAGCAAATGAGTACATCCAGAGCTGTGATATCGTAGCGTTCAACAAAATCTGTGAGTATCTTGATTTTAGTACATGGCATTTGTAAATATTTGTTGAATTTATAATTTTTATTCAGGGATCGCTTTGCTTTACATTCCTTAGGAATGCACCTTCCTTATCCAGCAGTAGGAGCGCAGTTACTAATTTCTTCATCTATAGGACATCTAATATACCCTTGCATTTGTTTTTATTACAATCGCAAATTTCATTGCAGTTTTATTCTGTTGATTAAAATGATGTATTGGGCATTTATTCTTTCTTCTAGTATTCAATCTATCTACGTTGTGTATTCTGCAATGGCTAAACTTCCCTATTAAATTTCAAAACCATCTTCAACTTTGTAGTAGAAGGTGTTCTTTTAGTTCGAATGCACCTTCCTTATCCAGCAGTAGGAGCGCAGTTACTAATCTCTTCATCTATAGGACATCTAATATACCCTCGCATTTGTTTTTATTACAATCGCAAATTTCATTGCAGTTTTATTCTGTTGATTAAAATGATGTATTGGGCATTTATTCTTTCTTCTAGTATTCAATCTATCTACGTTGTGTATTCTGCAATGGCTAAATGTCCCTATTAAATTTCAAACCATCTTCAACTTTGTAGTAAAAGGTGTTCTTTTAGTTCCCTATGGCCTATGATGCATGCTTTTACAGTTAAATGTTAAATAGTTCATGCAATTAATAAAAATGGAAATGAAGTTTTAACTTGCATATAATTGTTTTATTGCATCCAGAATTTTGCTTTCATGCTGTATAGTTTTTTTATTACTTTTCTTGTTTATATGATTAATATTTAAGGGTGTTGCTCAATACCTTATTTAAATATCATCATAATTTTATACCTTAGAACCTTGATGGATTAGAGTGGTTTAGTAATGAGTAACTACATAATATTTAAGGGTGTTGCTTATAGGACAAAATTTCAAAACAGACCTGTTTGCCAAAAAATATTCTCAAAAAAAGACCTGTTTCAAACTTAATTTCAAAAACCGACCCAGTTGGGTTGAAACTGGGTCGGTTTTTGAAAAAAAAAGTTCTCAACTCCCGTGAAGTTTGAGAACTTTTTTTATTTCAAAAACCGACCCAGTTTGAGCTAACTGGGTCGGTTTTTGAAATTAAGTTTGAAACAGGTCGTTTTTGGGGAATAAGATTTGAAATGGGTCTGTTTTGAAAATTTGTCCTTTGCTTATATATTAGGTTACAAATATGATGAGGAAGATGAACTAGACCAGAATGTCTTTGTATTTAATCCTCCTATTTTCACTTTATATCTTCCAAAAAAAAAAATTAACCAAGTGATTGCATGTACGAGTATATGTTTGCTTGATATTTGTGCTCCTGAAGCATATCCTTAGACTATTCAATACGGGTTATGCATGGTGTATGATGTTGATATGACTACGTACCTAATATATGATCGAGATGTTACATGATGCTTGATATCTAGAAAAATATATTAATCCTTGAGAATTGCCACTAAAACATGGTTGGAGAAATACATGGACAAAAATTTCATGATCCGCGTACGTTTAACATTTGTATGCCCGCATCTTGTTGCTTATGACGCAAGACGTCATAATTGCTGGGCACAGCAGTAGTTATGTTACTGAGTGGTGTTTCAAATTGCACACCATTCTTTACTTCTAGTGATTTATTTTACTCTACTATTTTAAGGCATTTTATCCTTTCTTATTTTAAAAAGAGCATCTTCAGTACGTATTTCCTTTCAAATACCTGGTGTTTATAGCTCTGTATGTTTTAGGAAACCTCCACGGTGACTTAGTTTTGTTGAATTTGCAAAGCATTTTTTTGCCTTGCTGTCTCATTCATTTTCTCATTTGCTGTAACTTTTCCTGCAGAGAAATTTTTCCTCGTCTATGGTTGGTTTGGGCATGCTTGTGATGACGATGAGGAGTCTGTGGTCTCCATGCTTAAATGGTCTCCATGCTTATGTACCTCAGAACTATTTATTCTCTATATTTAACCCAAACTGGAACGCTTGATCTGTGTTGAGGTTTCTATTTCAAGAAATGGTTGTATGATCGACATTCTTTCCTAGTTATTGATGGTTTCGTGCGACAGTTTTGATTGATTGCAGTTTTGATTGGAATGATGATATGGATTTGATATTGGTTTGGCTCGTGATATTTGATTGAGTTCAGTTTTGAGAACTGAGTTTGTTTGGCAACCCGTTATCAGCTCTATGTTGATAGTATGGCTGATGGGAGTATTGTTGCGTTCGGTTAGAATCTAAATCCTAGGTCTGCTGAATAATGTTGTATGCCGTATGGATTTCTTTTGCTTTTGTTCTGATTCACCTTGTAACGATAAGTATGTTAAAATATATTAATCGTTATTTACCGAAAAGTATGTTGAACAATATTATTCAGCGTGTGCGATGTATTGTTGTGTTTAGGTCTACCTGCAAATGATTTCAAGTATCACGTATAAGTAACGTCCATCTTTCAATCCAACATTTTTGCTCATAGTTTCTACTTGCTTTTTATTTCTATTATGAGGCATTTTATCATGAGACATACAGCTGCCAGATGAAGTGATAATATATAGCTCACATGTCAATCACCTAATACTACACACTCTCTTAAGTGAGTTGGTGTTAAGATCTTCGACGACTCCATTTAAAATCAGTTAACACAACATATTCCATAATCACTTAATACATACAACATAAATAGGCCGGTATTAATATATTCCACACTGACCTAACCTAAGTAACTTAAAACATCTTCCAAGCTTTCAACATTCATCAAAATGAATCTTGCCAATCTTTACCAAGGAAATAAGTGGACATGTTACACAAGTTTACGACGAGCACCAGATAATCCGGTAGCCCTGGGAAAAAAAGCTCCTTCAATGAATTTGCGCAAGCGTATCATGAAGCGTAAAACCATAGGAAACGACGCTGCTTCCTTTGACGAATGTTCGCATTCGGAGGTGTCAAGGTTATCCTCTCAACATTATCCATAGCACACTTGTTAAAATCGGGTGACGATACGAGCTCCCTTAAAGCTTCTCTTGTGTTCTCCTTGGTGAATTGCTCCCACTCTTCTTTTGAGAACCACTTTCTCTCAGGTGTTTTGTGAAAGGTAGAATAGTAAGTCCCTATTCAGATAGAACTTCCGGGGTCTTGTTCACACCTGCAACAGAGAATCAACAGTAACTCCCAGATAAAACATGGAAGATGAGTATTAATTTAACAACCATTACAAAAACGAACCTTGGGTAGGGTATGGAGTTGATTTTAAACTTCTGACTTGAGCCCCGTGCAGCTTAGATCCTGATTTCTGAACATGGTATGGGTAGTCAGAAAAATAGCTCATGGGTGAAGTTCTATCTTGGATTGCATGAACGCCCCTCCATGTTCTCCTGCAAGTTATCATAGCACGATTCATTATCATTTCAAATAGAAAACCAATGTAGCTAACTGAGAAAGAGAAGCTTTCAGGGGAAGAGAAGATTAATACAGTAACACAAGGTCGTACCCTCTCATTTCATGTAAAATTATCAAATACAACAAATTCCAATCCAGTTTAGAAATATTATAGGGACACATTTTATTAAAGAAAAACCAAATATCCCAACAAGGCTTTTTTCTAAGCAAAACATCTGAAATAAGATCAATAGCATATTTACATCCAAAGAAGTCAAACTAATAACACTGGATTTCCATCCTGATAGCGAAGCAACCTGTCAAAAAATCTTTGCCACTACACCTACACTACTCATTGGTGGTGAGGGTCAGGGACTGGCAAGTGGATAGGCCGGTTTCACAGAAAACACGTAAGCCTCATGGCTTCATACCTGACACATCGCATGTCCACTAGACTAGCATATCACATACAAAATTTTCTTCACATTTTCTCTCAAAATTTACTTGCTGAAAACAATGGAAATCGGAACTCTTTAAATAGAGTGGGAAATCTATCTCTCAATACAATTTGAAATTCCAAAAGAATAAAATAAAATTTATCCTAATGCAATCTAAAATCTAAAACTAGATAAAATCCACTTAACAAATAAAATCAAGGGAAAAATGCTTCCAGCCCCCAAAACCAATGAAAACGTGCTTCCCGCCCCCAAGACTTTTTCAACGCTCTTAAAACCCCCAAATTCGTAAGAACTATGCACTGAGCCCACAAAACACAAAGCCCAAGAATTTTACACAGGTAAAGACTATAATACACATTCTCTCTCTCTAGACCCCCTCTCTCCTCCCCAGATCACAAGCCCCGCCCTCCCCCCTCCCTCCCTCCTCCCCCT